AAAAAACATTATAGCTTAAAAATTATCATCGCCATATAAAGTAAAGAAATTGCATAAAATTTTACTAATAAGTTAGAGTAGCAAAACACATTATAAAAGACTATAATCTAATAGCTCAGCATTAATTAATTATAATTTAGAAACATTAATATCTAATGTTAATAATATTTATAGGGTCAAAGTATACAATGAATTATGTATGGAGAAACTATCAGAATATTCAGAGATATCATTTAAAAGAGTCAAGTTATTTCTATTTGCAAGTGGGAAAGTGACGGAAATAAATCTAAAATTCTAAAAACATCCATGAATCATTTGAATTGGTATGAACATAAGACATGTCTATTAAAGAAGCACCAACTGAGTTACATTGAAGAATAATTTAATAACTTTATCCCAATCAAAAAAGAATTCTCTATGGAAGATGTAAAAAAATAGTAAGCATTCATAAATTTCATACTTTGTTTTTCAAATACTAAAGAAATTAGATATTAATATTATAATCTAAGGCAAATTGATAATAAAAATGCAGGTATTTAGTTTAGATCTTTGGGAAAAATAATAGGGATAGAGCAAATATAATATTATTGACGTAATAGAAACTCTTATTGGATGCACATCAGAAAAATTTATTGTAGAAAAAAAAGAGGTAGCTTCTAATCTTATTTATTTAAGTAATAAATTAGAAACACAAAGAATTTCATATATATGAAATTAATATTTATTCTCATTTAAATAAAAAAAATCAAAGTCTGTATTTAAGGAAGTTTGTGTTGAACATCAGAAATACATTTAACTTCTTTGTGAAGTTAAACAATAAGATAAAAGATTAACGAGCCTAGGAACGATAACAACACAAAAGTACAACTCTAGCCTGATGCCACAATCGAGTAGATGATGAAGATACTATTCTAGAATTGATCGAGAAAAAGATAAAGGTGAGGAATGGTTGATATTAGCTTAGTAAAAAAATAAAACAGAAGAAATAAAAGATAATATTTTTTGAATATTTTATAGCATAGTTTAATTATTTTGAGTGAATTTAGAAATCTTTAGAAGGGAGTGTCATGAGCTTTTTAGTACTTTTATATGCTTGTGCAAATGCTTTTATCATATGAAAGTATACTAGAGTTAGTATTAATCTTTAATTTATAATTTTTTATGAAGTTTATCATTGATTAGGAACGAACTTTATATTATCTTTTGTATCGTTTTAGTATACATTTTTTTTGCCTTAATGGTTAAATATTCACCTTCCTTGTATAACATTGTTTTAATATTTTTTACTTTTGCAACACTGTATTTTCTCAAGTAAAGCTTCGTTTCATGTCAGTCAAAATAATATAAAAATTTAAATTAGCTTTAAATTATATTTGTTTTCTATCAATTTAAATATTAACATGAAAATTTAAATTAGGTGTAACCCATTTAAACAAGTATCAAAGAAAATAACTAACCGTAATATTAAAGTTTAGAGACAAAAATGAGCATAAACTATTAAAGTAAAACCGAAGAACAAATTTTAGTTAGAAAATAAGTTAAAAATACTTAATCATGATATTTAACCACGTGCATTGCTAATGCACGTATATAAAACCTAGTAAGTTGAGAAAAGCGGGGAAAGCAGTCAAAGCAAGTAAAAACCCGCTTTTAAAGCGGTTTAAAATTAAAACTCTAAACCCGAATCCGAACCGCTTCTCTCTCTTACCCGGACGATTCCCTCTTCTCCCCATCCTTCCACTGGACCGAACGAAAAAAAAGCCCTAGGCGACACCCGAAAATCCTCTGCCTCCAACGGCTCCTCCCGCACCAAATCCGCCCATCCCGCGGCCTCCTGCAGCCCCTGCGGCCGCATTCAGAAGCCCTATCGACTTCTTTGTTCGCTGGTGACGAGGTGCTGATTTTTCTTTTTCCAACGAAGCTCCTTCCTCCTCTTCCTCCTTCAGGGCTCGGCGTTGCCTATAAGGTATGCAATTCCATCTTGATTGTAAGTTCGTGAAGTCTCCGATGGTAATGCCACTGAGAAACTGAAATATTTATGATGATTCTTCATCACGCTCATGAGTTAGAAAAGAACAATTGGCTTGAAGTTTCACACAAATTTGATCTCAACATATAGTAATTTCAAAACATATAGTAACCTTGCCTTTTATAAAATTTTGTGTCCTATATTTGCACACGTGTTCGTGTCCGCACTCGCACCCATACCCGTGCAACATAGGTCCAACGTAATGTGTTAGAGAGTGCTTGCTCGCACAATTTTTTTTGAAAAGCCACATGCAATTACCTTTATGCCCCTCCCTTTTCTATTGTGAGAACAAATGCCATTCATACTTTTTTTTTCATAACCCCACTACGTTTTTATATAATAGTATGGATAGCTTGTTTGTTTAGCTTAAAAGATTATGTTGGCGGTGTGCGCGTCGCTTCACTAAAGCACTTGCATCGTCTTGCGCATGGTGGTCATGAGGGACTTTGTGCTCCATATTGTGCATTGATAACCCTCATCTAGAAAAGAAAGACAAGAAGACAATGAAAAGATAAATTTATATACAGACTTATATTTAACTCCAAGGCGGAGATATCAAGCAGTTCACGCCAAAGAGAAAAATACTAACAACTTTCAACTTCATAAACATTAACTACTTTATCCCGAGTAGAAAAAGGTTGTTATAGATATAGCCGCTAAAATCTTCTTTTTAACTCCCTGAAATCTTTAAATGATAACTTCCAATACGACAAAAATACCCTCACTTCTTCATAATTTTGTTCCCCACATTTTTACTAATGAGTATATTTAACTCATTTTGGAGTTATTGCAAAAAATTAAAGATTTCAATTGATTATATATAATATTGAATATTATTTTTTGGGAAGGGAAAGGGTTATATCAATATAAGGAAACTTTGAAGTATTATATTGAAAAAAAAAACTTATTTGTGTATGCTCGTGACCATGGATACTACTCATATTAGGAAACTATGAAAAGTTATTTTTATTAATCATAACTGAAATCCTTTGACGGCTTCATCTAACTTAATTGCAAAATAGATCTAATAGAGTTAAGATGTTAGTCTTCAACGAGTGATTAACATGCAAACCAAATTGAACAACATTGTGTATGTGCAGGAAATAAGTATGCATTTTGCTCCGTTCAATCATAGGGTCACCTTTGCTAGCAGTGCTAGGGGGGCTGAGGGTGCCATGGCCCCCAAGTCTTTAGGGACATATGTATATAGCTTATGTGTATGGGTGTTTTTCCATAGTAGTTCCCCAAATCTATAATATATCATATTTGAAATCATTTCTCCGAATCTTTCATATTTGAAATTAGTCCTCTAAATCTTCCATTTCGTATTTGAGATTAACCCCCAAATCTTTCAGCTATGGAAGTAGTCCCCAAAATCTCCATATTTTGAAATTAATTTCCCAAATCTTTTGAAGTGTTATGAAATTAGTGTCATTGCCATATTTACCATCTAAAATGCTAACTACGTTTGGGTAGTTTTTAACTAGTGACAATTATCAAATTACCAAGTCAACCAAAATCCACCAATATAAGGTTCTCAATCTGTAGATTTAAGTCTAGTTTTGTATAATGTTTCCCCAATTTGTGTTCCCATAAAGTCTTGTTTGGGGTTTTGATTTGAATGCATATGCGTATAGTTGCTATTGTACCAAAAAGTAAAAAAATAACAAAAGACTGAATATCCCATCGAGAGACTAATTTCAAATCACCCAAAAAGATTTGAGGGACTAATATAGAAAACAAATCCTATATGTAGAGAAAGACATCTTGCTTTCATGTAAACTTTTTTTGCATTTCAAGTAGAATAGGGAAACAGGGTTTCAATTTTCATGCTCATTTTAAAAGTAGAATGGTGAAATGGAGTTTTTCGAATTTCATGAAACTTTACATGAAAAAGTAAATATGTGAAATAAGTTTTTTATGTGCATGTATTTCTGCGATTATTTTATAAATTTATAAGTTAAAATCGCTTTATTTCTTCTTATTATTGTCAAAAATAGATTTAATGGTATAATTTATAGTGTATTGTCGATTTAATGGTAAAAGTTTTCTTATTATGCCTTTTTGTATCTAATTGATGTATAGTATGACAGTTATATTTTGGCCTCTCCTAAAAAAATATATTGGTTCCGCTACTGCTGCCTACCTAACTGAGAAAGAGCAAAATAGTAGCCATTAAATGTCCTCCTGAAATTCAATCGTAAGACAACTTACACATACTCCCTTCAGGTGAGTATGCTAATAGGATACTTACTCGAGTTATCCACAAGAAAGATTCTTACTTGAGTTCTTAAGAACAATAACCTTACAAGGAATTACTTATCCCGCCCACCCAACAAAAAAAGAGAAGAAATAAAGCCTATATTTCGTTGACAAGTCGAAAAAGCAAAAGAAAAGATAAGAAAAGTATAAGCACATCAGCCCACTCATCCATGCAAAACCCCACTCCTCTTTATGAGCGGTACCTGAAACCTTATGTCAATCTTTTGATAGCTAGTATTTCTAGCATCTACTTAGTATACCTTTTGACAAGAACCTTAGTATACCTTTTGACAAGAACAGCACATATTATTTGCAATAATATTGAGATCTCAGTTACAGGTCCTCATGATTCTTCCTTTAAAGGATTTGTTTGATTTGTGGAGAACATTTTATACACTGCAGGAAACTGCCATTCAAATTCATTCTATCTCCCTGACTTGTCACTTTTTCTTAAATTACAGTTTATTGAATATTGTAATGTCTATAAGTGCTATATTCAATGTAGCAGCCAACATGGAGTTATTCCCATTCTAACATGCCAAGATACATATATACATGTAACTGCTTGTGCATGCAACTTGCTACCATTGTATTTATCTTCCTGAAATTGTCTAATTCTGATTCTTACCTTTTGTTTGGATTTTTTGTTAGGTGAAAAGCGATCTTTACTTGTCAAGAGGAATTGTTATATGA